AAGAAAGCTGGGCTGGGCGCGATGGTTCATGCCTGTAATCCCAGCACTTTGGGAGACTCAGGCGGGTAGATCACCTGAGGTCAGGAGTTCAAGACCAGCCTGGCCAACATAGCGAAACTCTGTCTCTACTAAAAATACAAAAAATTAGCCGGGCATGGTGGTGGGTGCCTATAATCCCAGCTACTTCAGAGGCTGAGGCAGGAGAACTGCTTGAACCCAGGAGATGGAGGTGGAGGTGGCAGTGAGCTAAGATCACCCCATCCAGCCTGGGTGACAGAACAAGACTGTGAAAAGAGAAAAAGAGGGGAGGGAGGGGAGAGGCGGGAAGGAGAGAGAGAAGGGAAGGGAAGGGAGAAGGGAAAAGAGGGGAAGGGAAGGGAGAAGGGAGGAGAAGGGAGAAGAAAGAAGAGAAGAGAAGAGAGAACAAAGGAGAAGAGGAGAAGAGAAGGCTGAAAAATCCTGGGGGAATAAAGAAGACAGGACTGGGAGATAACTCAACAGTTTTTTTTTGTCCCTGTTCAATTAAAGGAATTTAGGCAGCTAATTCCATAAAATGTGTCACAAATTTGTAAGCTGGCTATAATACCTTGCTGGTGGGCTGGTGAGATCATTTGTATCAATTAGAAATATTTTTTAAAGGTTATCAAAAACAAACTCATTTAAGTACATTTTAGGACAACTATGCTACCTAGCTGGGGTATTATTTTAGCTATAGAGACAATTTTTTTTAAGTCTTTGTGTATGACAATAGAAAACGTTACAACAAAAGCAAAACTAAAAGCCACAGCAACTATAATAAAATTTCATTTTAATTCCAGGTTTGGAATGGTCCTCTTAATAGTTATAAACTAAAATATCAAAGTTTAATAGCTTAAAGTATACAAGCTCAAAGGCGCAAAGCTGTTCACCTTTGCTTTGTATTTGAAATGAGTCACACTAGACATAAAAAACTTCCCTACAGTCTCACATCCCTGAGGCAGATCTGCATTCTTAGGTGACAGACTAACTAGAGCCTGGAATTTTCATTTGCTAGCCCATCCTTTCAAAATGGCATTTTTCTCCTTTTTTCTTATTTTATACTATTTCAGAAAACATTGACTGCCTAATTATCCATTCTATATTCCATAAAGTCCTCCAACATTGTACTCAATTGCGTATTCAAACGCTGTATTTGTTGAGCAGGGTATATGAACTGTTTGAAAGTTCCTGCAATCACATTACTCTAATTAGCCTATTATCCAGAGAAGACCAATGACAGAGACTGGCACTTGCCAGAGAGAGAAGTCTGTAGCAGCTGGGGCCCTGCTCTTCTCCCAGTGCCGCAAGGTGGCAGGGAGATGTGGTGCTGCTCCACCCTATATACACATTCGCTTTTTTGGCTCATCTCAGTCTCTAGCCTCGCTTCCTGCCACCACCTCATTATTTATTCAGTTGGTTTTCAGGTAATTCAATTACCTGAACCCCTGGGCCTGCTGTATTGTGGGGAACGGGACGTGAGTGCAGACCACACTCAGCTACTTCAGGCTAGTCTTGGCTACATACCTAATTCCGCTTTTCTCCCACTACCTAGCTCTGAATTTCTTGTTGTCGTGGTGACCTGGCAACCATGTTCTGAGCTTTCCTGCAATTATCTGTACAACTTGAGTCAAAACTCTTTAATTTCACTTGATTCAGCACTCCAGAGCCAAGAATTACTTGTTAACGGAGTTTATAGGTATCATTACTATACGGTTTTCTTGTGAGATAAAATACGAAACAGGTAACTACCACATGACTTCTGGTTGACTGACTGTAATGATAATTTTGAGCTCTATACAATCTTGCTTACTCTCTCACCCCATATTTCTAATAGGAAAGAAACCAACAGCATGCTCCATTTTCCATTGATCATATCACAACAACTCCATTCTGAATAGCCATTGGGTGTCACAGTGTTACCCAACCAAAGCCATTACAGTTGATTGATGAGCAAAAGGCTAACTGGAAATCGTGGGAATGACAGGCATAGCTCTCTCTCTCTCTCTGCTGCTCTGTTAGGCAGAGAGCTACATGCACCGCTACTAAAGAAGCTTCAGAAATCCTACTTGCATAATCCTCATTGATTTTTAAAACCTTAGCATTTTTAAACATTTATTTGAAGGAAGAATTTGTGAAGAATTGCTTAGAAGGAGTAAGTCCTGGTGACCTAAAGGAAATTAAAATTTACAAAATTTGACGGGATACAGAAACTGATGATTTGATAAAAGTAGTTAGCTAATTGTTCTGGTATATAACGTTTAAGACTCAGCATTCCATCTTTGTGTTAAATATCAGAGGCAAAAGACAGTTCATTTGCTTCTTTATAATAATGCAATAGTGAGGCCAATTACTGAAAAGTTGACAGAAGTCAACTGACATATGCAAAATAATAAGCATTAATACTGTAGCAAATACTTAAAATTCTATGTAGTCTTATGTTCCTCTTCTGTAAAAGAAATTTGCCCAAGATCATCAAGAAAAGGTTTGGTGTAAATAAAAGGTTAAAATTAACTTAATTTTAATAATCTAATCTACAGCTTGCATTAACTCTCCACTCCAAATATCAGGTGGTATTATGAAATGTACGGAGATACTGTTTTTCACCTTTTCTGTATCAAAACATGATCAATTCATTGAACTTCTCTTGGGATGTGTTAATGTGTCATTCACTAAGATGCCAAATAACAGGGACTGAACTCTTTGTTCTTACTTTGTCTCATTCTCACCACTAGAGATAAACCACATTCTGGTCTGGTAAGAGAATCATGATTTCAGAATAGTCTGTCTCAATATGGAGCAACCTTAACCAAGATGTGACCGTGACTGGCTCATGGATTCCAGGGTTCCAGACCTTCAAGTTCTCCTAAAGCGATCCTTTAATCTTCTTTGCATCAAAAGGGCCTTACCTAGACAATGTAAGACTTGTTAACTTGAAGCCTTTCTTGCTTATCCTCTATACTCATGTCACAAGCTTCATGGATAGACAGACGTGAGGTGTATCAAGAAATTTTCTTCAATGGAAAAGTCTCACTACTCTAGGGCAAACTGAAAAAATTTACTGATTCTCCTAAAGAAGAAATAGATTTGATTTTTATGACAAGAAGAATTGAGGGCAGAGGACTAAACATACTTGCTAATCATTCAAGGAAAACATTAAAATACTATGTACAAGAGGGCTAGTTATTGCTGAAGTTTTGCTTAAGAGTAAATCAAACAGTTACTGTCTGAAACATAATATTTAAATATTAACCATAAATATTTTGCTCTGAAGTTCCCTCTTGCCACCACCTTCTTTCTGTTTTAGGAAAAAAAGTCCTATCTCCTGGTTATGTCATTATTTTGAAATACACATCTATATTTATTTGCTTTCTCTATCAATCTCATATTCTTAAAATTTGATTTCTCATGTTTGCTGAAGTTATCCAGGTCCTATAAATTCTCGTATCTAAATAATTCTTTCTTCTTTAAACAATTTTGTTTGTTGAGAATCTTGACATTCTTCCACAGTGATACTAAGTTAAAAAAAAAAAAAGAGAGAGAATCTTGACATTCAACTTTCACCCCAAACAAAAGTTATTTTGGCTTCATTCCACTAAATGAAAGTATTTTCCATAAATCCCTTACTTCCACATGATATACTTCATGCACAAACTCCATAAATGAGTAAAAAATATATACTCAGAAGGTCCTCCAAATGAAATGATTTTTTAACTCTACTAACATTAGATAAGAAATCAATATTTACCCTTGAGGGGAAAACCCTGCCTTAATAAGACAAACTTCAATTTTGACTACATTTTGTTTAAGGAGGATGTCTGATGATTTGACATCTGTGATTTTATTTATACCCAACTAATCTATTTTACTACTCTTAAATTGAGGCCTAGAAAGTCTTCAATAAATTTGCTGAGATCTAGCAATGATTGTCCCCTGATCTGGGACAAATATGCAGGTTTGGCAGTTCTCAATTCCGTCTAAATGTTCTAAATCCTAAAAACTTCTGATAGCCTCAAGATATTTTAAACCATCCACAGTCTGAGTCCTAGTTTTAATTATCAGATACACAACTATTACACAGAGCTCCACGCCTAAAAAGAAACAAATGGCATGGGAAGCATGTTTATGGAGAAAGGCAGGGGAAACCACTCCCCAAAATATATTCATGGATTATTTGATAAAGTCAGGCTAGTAGAGCAAAGAAAGGTAGTCAGTAAATGGCATGCTCTAAAACTGAACTTTTACAGATAGTTTTCAGCATGATTTTTCTGTTTCACTTTTCACCGTCAGCTGTGAGCTGTTTCCAAGTGTGAAATCGCCTAAGAGAGGAAGCAAAGCTGTCATTTGACATCTGGGAGCGTGGAGATTGGGCGGCACTGAAAAGCCATTTTGGACTTCTTCAATTTACGCACATATTCACCTATACATTCTGAAGTCTGAAAAGTATTCAATGATAGATATCAATGTAAATTTCAAGCATTTAAAATTAAAGACTCAGAATGGGGCAGAAAAGTGAAGAACTCACATTGATAGGATACCGTATCAACTTAAGACTAGAATGAGAAACTTAAATGATTATATTAGGTCAACTAACACAAATAATTTTACGCACTTGTCTCAGATCATATGCTAAACTTTCAAATATCGTTTTCTTGTATTTTTGTTGAAGAGACAAGGTCTTGCTATGTTGGCCTGGCTGGAGTGCAGCAGCTATTCACAAGCATGATCATCGCACACTGCAGTTTCAAACTCAGCCTCAAGCAATCCTCCCACCTCAGACTCAGGTGTTCTTGTTGTTGTTGTTTGTATTTTATATGCTTAGTAGTACAGCTTCTATTATAGCTCTTTTTGAATAATCAAATCAAAGGAAAAAAGTGATAAGAAAAATTATCTTCTTGAAATTTTATTTCTCCTTTATACTTAAAACACTATATTTATTTTCATATGTTAATAGATCAAATGATAAAGTAAATAAAATCCTTTGGCTAAACTTTTGTGTATATGTGTAAAACGATATAAAATCAGAGTAACCACAAGAAAGTCATCTGGAGATTAACCAATTTACTCCAGTTTTTATTCTCTAATCTCTCACAACAAAAAAAATAGAAGAACCTGCGCAAAAGTATCCTGATAAAGTATCTAAAAGTCTCCTAATGTGGAAAGTAGACACGTTATATTTATATTGTCATGCTACACAACTGTTCCTACTGCGTGGACTATTTCTTTTGCTTTTTCTCTTCCTGAACCCCATTCTATGTTTCTATGGTATGAAAGAAACCCATTTACCACGAATGATGTTTATTTAAAATAAAACCTTTCTAGAGAATCATCCTAGATAATCTAAGGATACAAAGTGAACCTAAAAGGAATGGCTTCTACTCTGAAAACAGGGCTGGGTTTGATCAGTGAATTCGTATTCTCAAGACCCTCTTGATGGGTCTGCAGCTGCAGCCATTTATGCGCTGGCTTTTTCACAGATGTAGACAGAGAAAGCTCCATGGTTTTTGTCTTTTTGTTGTTGGATTTGTTTTCTTTAACATAAAAAAATTGGCAACTTTTTAAAAAGTTCTCCATTTCGTTATAGAAACTTGCGAATCTTGGACATCCTTGGGAGTTTACGTTGTTGAAATAATTATGACTTTTTAAAATCTAAGATCACAAAGCTGGCAGAGACTATACTTAAATAACAGAAGGTGATCATTTGCATTTCAAAATTTATCTGTCTTGCTTTTCCCCTCAATTAAACCAAAACATGTTGATTCACAGGTTTCTGTGTGTGTTTTTTCTTTTTAAAACTTATTTATAGAGCAGAATAACGGCCCCCCTGCTAGTTTGGCATTTGCTCAAGTTTCTGTCCATGCAAATCAAATCTGTTACTGGAAATTTTTCTCAAAATATAAAGGCACATCATCCACAAGATAAAAGGATACACTGCTGCTATTATAAAGTACAGGGCAGGTGGATAATGTTTTCAGGACAAATATGTGATAAGGGTTCCCAGGAGGTGAAGTGGCAGGGGTAGACGGTGCATACTGTTTAAACAGAAGTGAGTCGCTCTCATCATAATCTTGTGACAACTTTACTTTCTAACCAAACATCAGCTGCTTAGACTTGGGAAGTAAGAGGGAGGGGATCATGTGAGAAGGAATTACTTCAATCCTTAGTGTTCCTAGGGATAGATCCGAAGGTGGCTAAACACTCTATGTCCCATGCAGTTACTGATTTCTATTTTTAAGCATTGAAATATTAACATATTATCATTGCTTCCACCCTTTGAGGAGAGGAAAACCTATTTGTAGTTTTGATTTATCTGTAGCACTGCTATAAACTTTTGAGGCAAACAGTAATTCACAAATTTTTGCTCCAATTCCCCTTAATTATAAATGAGGGGTGAGAGCACGTAGACCTAACCAAGTTCTATAACTCTCTAGATTTAAGGTCATCTTAATTTGAACATTGGTATTACTTTTTTGTTGGGGCCATTACTGGTTTTGTTTTACCTGGTTGGTAAAATTAACAGGCCAAAGAAATGGAAAGCCTTTCCACATTGTTGAAAGCATGCCATAACACTAGAACACTTTCGAAACTCACAAAGCTTGAAAGTACAATTCTTTTATGTAAATAATGACAACAAAGCCCCTCTTCAGACTACAGCTTTTCTCAAATGCTAGTGAAGGACAACCTGGAAGAGGACAGCAAAAATCCATTAATGGTAGACTGCCACCTGCTGGTAAACTAAGAGAAGTGTAATTTCTGGGACAAGGCTTAAAAATTAGAACTTGGAAACTGATCTGTATTAAATTCAGTATTTCAGTATATGACACTGAAAGTATATATCTGTTGATGAATGTAATATGGTTCTGTTCCACATATATTAAAACTCTCAGAATACCAACATGTTATGGATATTAAAGTAAATGTGACTGCTTGAAAATAAAGAAAAATAATCTGCTAGAATGCCAAAGTACAGACCTACAGAGTTTCCAGTAAGTAACAATATGTATACTTATTAGGAACCAGGACAAAAGAGAAAGTAACAACAAAAGTAAGAAATAAGGAGCTAGTGACAAATATTAAACAATATTCCATAAATGTTTGGTTTTGTTACATGGTTCCTACTGTACTTCACTTGAGGATGTAACAAGCTTGACTCAAAAAAAAAACTCCCAAATTAAATTTGATTCTAAAACTGTCAAATTCATCAGAATTAACAAATATATTTCTAAGTACCCTGGAACCTAAAATGTTATTTCTTATCAAATTAGAAAGTGGGGAGGATTTGTTTTTTTAATCAAGTAACTATAATAAAGTGAATTCAACATGAAATTTTTTATCCTATCAACTAATATGATTTCAAAACATAGCATCACATAATCTACTTGACAGAAAAAATGCAGGTGTGCTCTATTGTCTCTAAGAAGAAACAAAAAACAGTCTTAATTTGAAGGAAGAAGGAGGAAAGGAAAGAAGACCCTAATGGCTGCTTTCAAGAATGTTTTAGGATATTTATTTTATAGGTTGGAAAATTTCTATTCTCTACTATGAAAATAATTCTTAACAATGAAGGTTGTAACTAGAAACAATACAGCTCTTTTAATCCTTATGATCAGCACTTCACATTATGCAGAGAAACAAGGTTAGCGTCAACACACTGGTTAAGCTGGTAAGTATTAAATACTACATTGATCAACAACTAAGCAGATTATGTCAACAACATCAGCTTCATACTCCTTTGAAGGCCAGTGGGGTGGCAGGTGAAGTAACTCTAGCCATCCAAAGAGGCTAAATGGTAAGCAAAAGGTGAACAAACCTAACAGCCCCATCTGCACTGATGAGTGAGAAAAACTAGCTCAAACGCAATTCACATGTTTATGCTACCTGTAAAAAATCTAAAACTCGCAAAAGAAATCTCTAATTTTTAAAAAACAAAAACAATTCAGGAAGGGTAAGATAAAACTGCTGTATCTAAAAACATTTGTTCTAAAATGCTAGGCTGGCACATCACTAAAATCATATTGCATTTTTTAAAATCTCCATTTTGCCAGGCACTGTGGCTCGCGCCTGTAATCTCAGCTATTCCAGGGGCTGGGGTGGGAGGATTGCTTGAGGCCAGGAATTCAGGATCAGTCTGAGCAACACAGCAAGGCCCCGTATCTACAAAAAAAAAAACAATTAAATTAGCCAGGAGTAGTGGCATGTACCTGTAATCCCAGCAACTTGTGAGGCTGAGATGGGAGAATTGCTTGAGCCCAGCAGTTCTAGACCAGCCTGAGCAACACAGAAAGACCTCATCTCTACAAAAAAAAAATGCTTTTAAAAAAAATTAACCAGGCATGGTGGTGTCCACCTGTAGTCCCAGCTACTTGGAAGCTGAGACAAGAGGACTGCTTGAGCCTAAGAATTGGAGGCTGTAGTAAGCCATAACAGCAGCACTGCACTCCAGCCCATGTGACAGAGTGAGACCTGTCTCAAAAAGAAAAAGAACAAAATCATGCATCTAAAACAGGTCAGGATATTTAAAGGTCCTTGTAAACACTAAGAAGTTAAGACATTTCTAAGAATTCACTGCAGTTCTTACTGAGATATAAACTCATTCAACAATAATAAATATGTAAACACACACATACATATATACACATATATACCTATGAATTATTTAATAAGCTTAGCCCCAAAATTTGTTTTTTGAGGGGTTAAACAGATAACCAAATCCAACACATACATAAACTGCTAGTGAAAAATACAACTTATATAGAGAAATGAGAGCTGCCGAACCACTCTTTCAAGTGAAACATTTTAGGAGATGGCTCTAACCTGGGGCACAGTACATTCTCTCTATGGCATCGCTGTCACAGGAATCTTCAACCTCACTCCACCTGCTAAAATACGTTAGCTGAATGTGTCCTAAAAACAAAACGACAGGAGAAATCAAAACATTTTTCTCTTCCATTTTCTGCAGAAGTGAACTGTAATTACTCCTTTTGTAGCTAAAAACAGTATCATTAAGAATAATGGCATCATTAAGTACTAGAAGCTATTACTGGGGGTGAATTTGCTGCACTGATAATGAAGCTCTAGACAGGAAATGAAGATACTAATTACAAGATAAAACGCCTACTCAGTTAATTGGAAGCAACAGCGAATAAAAAGAAATGCATTTGCAAAAGTTCCTGACCTCTATCATTCAATAAGATGTTGTTTGGGTTCAAATCGCGGCACACAATTCCCTCTCTATGTAAAGCATCAAGGGCTACCACCATTTCAGCTGCCCATCTTTGAATGCAGCCCTCTGGGATGTAAAACCTGGACGTTAGTGCTAATTTTTTATCAAGGTCCTCAAAAATCTGATGTATTTCCTTGTCTCCTTCTAGCGCTAAACCACTTTCTTCCTTAGTCTCAGAGTCTCTCTGGAATAAAGAAGTTGGTTCCTCTTTAGCCAAATCATCAGTTTGATCTGTAAACAGCAGTACTTCTTCTGTTTTTAAAGTGTCTGTGCTTGCAATATATTCATTAGCACCTGAGAGTGGACTGCAAATATGGAATAAGCTTTCTTCTGTGTTGTTTGCAGTTACTGCTGACTCAGCCACTCCAAGTCCTTGAAACTTAGGATCTGAGCTGGGTAACAAAGACATATCTCCCGAACTGCTATGATCAACGGCTGCTACAAATAACATCCTGGGATCCTCCTGTGCACAGTGTTTCTCTGTTACACTATGGGATTTGGGACCAGAGAGATCACTCAGTTCCTCTGTGCCTTTCTCCTCATGTGTTTGGCATTGTTCAGTACTAAGCCTGAGGCATACAACATCAGGGGTTTCTAAGAGTTTACTTTCTATTATCCCTGTATTAGTTTGTGTAAACTTAGCAGGTCCCATTGCTGCAGCTTCTCTTGTTGGCTCCAATTCACCAGGTAAATTTACAAGAAGATCAGGTCTTCCTTCATCAGTACCACTGACATCATCAAAAGCAGCATCTTTAAATGAAATAACTGGCACTGAGTCATCTGAGCCCCTGCTAATGGTGTCCTGAGCTTTAAACTCTACTTTGCTTTCACTAGTATTAAAACTCCTAGATGCACTGTCTCCATCTGGAATAGTAAAGAATGGTTTCAAAGGTTCTGATTTTAGACTATACAATTTTTCTCCAAAGTCAAGTCCCAGGAGTTCACTTGCACTATCCTTACTGTCTATCCTAAAGAATTCCATGGGGCTACTTTTTGATCTACTGAGGGAATCTGATGTTCTTGGAGAACTAACTGCTTCTGGGTCATCGTTGGGGAAGAGCTTCAGCTCGTGAGCTCTCAGCTGTGTGCTGGGTCTGTCACTGTCAGCAGCAAGGTATGTTGGGAAGCTTTTAACAGCTTTAGTATCAACACCATTCCCTTCAGTGTTCATGAAGGGCTCCTCATTCAAAGACCCTGGTTCAATCTTTTCTTGCCCATATTCATTGCATAATGTTAAATAACTAGTAGTACATTCTTCTTCTGAACTTGAACCAGAATCTGGCCATTTTGGAGAGCTATCTTGGCCATCATCTTCCTGGTTGCTGTCCTCTTGAGAACTTGGAGTAAGACTACTCTTCAAAGGCAGAGCTTTAAGCATGCTTCCACCATCACTTCCTCTGGATTCAAAGCTACTGCTGTCCTGAGGACTAGAAGCTGGCTGTTGCAGGTGAACTTTTGCAAGTGTAGATTTTTTCACTTCCTTGATGTCAATGCTTTCTTCAGGACTTCTGTTTAGAAATTTACTGACATATGACCACAGTTTGCCACCTGTGAACAAGTATAACAAAACAAACAAAAGAATTAAGCGCTCCAAATTAATAGTTATTTATTAAGCCATTAGAAAAAGAAAAACTATTTTAAAAGTCAATCAAAACAAGTCACTAATACCCATTAATATCAAGTGTGCCTTAAGATAAGCATGTTTAATAAAATGCTTGTTACTGCTGACTTGGTGAGTATGGTTTCAAGCATATTTCCTGAAATCAATTATTTTTTTGAATGCCAACCTATTTCTTCCTTTGAAGAGAAATTAGTTATAACAAATACTAATATGAAATTTCATAATTAAAATTCTACTCTAAAGTTAAATATCATTTAGTTTTAGAAACATCTGATTATGTTCTGTTCTGTTTATATAATGTTTTCAAGCATGGCCCCTTGGTCAAGTGGAAATACATAAATAAGTGCTGTTTAAAATCGTATACTACAATGAGGGGAAAAAATCAACAATATTATTCTATTTTGAAAATGTCCAGTCCAGGATTGGAGGAATTTGGCATGTGGTACATAATTATGCCTTTATTAATGACATATTAATAATATATTTCCCCTTTTATGCCCTGCCATACATGTTAATACATTACATAAGTAAAGCTATTGAGGAAGATTAATTGGGCATCCCTTAATAAACAAAGCTATTGAAATTCTGACCATGTATTCTGACATATTATCTATGAAACTAAAATCCAAAAAATCAATTTTATACAAATCAGAGAAATAAAAAAAATCCAGTATTTCACCAGCAATACTTGTTACAGTTATTTTTTAACCATAGTTTTAACCATTAAAACACCTCAACCTCTTTTGTCAATTAGAATTTTTACATTAAAAAATTATAGCTAAGTATCAAAAATCTGCTATAATAGTAGTGACTAGAAACAGTTTTATAAGAAAGAATAATTCATTAAATTTGATCCACATATCTTAAAAGCAGTAACTGCATAAGTATACTTTGTGGAGACAGAATTGTAATTGCAAAAACTTGAAAATTAAGAATGATGTGTTAAAAATAAATCCCTCTATTCATATAAAGCAGGCAGTTTTTCAGCACATTTTTAGTGTAATCATTAAGCATTATATATCAAGGGCACCTAAACCTTAAGGAAAACAACCATTGACAGTCAATTGCATGTGTAAAAAAGTCAATTGAAACATTGAAAATACCTCTTCCTACTTCACATTTCATTTTAAGAAATTCAATAAATTCATATAGCACCTCACATGGTACCTAGCATAGAATAAATGCTCAATAAAGGCTAATTGTCATAACATTAATCCTAGGATTCTCATACACCTCTTTGTAGCAGCAATCTCGTAAACCATCTTCCCTATTTTACTTATTACTTATTAATTTAATTTTTTTTTTTTTTGAGACAGAGTCTCACTCTGTAGCCCAGGCTGGAGTGCAGTGGTGGGATCCGAACTCACTGCAGCCTCCACCTCCTAGGTTCAAGTGATCCTCCTGCCTCAGCCACCCAAGTATTTGGGATCAGAGGCGTGTGCCACCACAGCCGGCTAATTTTTGTATCATCTTCCCCATTTTGATAACAGTTAGTGGTACAGGACGTTATGGCATTTAGCTTTTTCCTCTCATTTTTTTCTTAGCTAATATTTTCGGTCCACTTTAGAGTATACTCAGTGTTTCACATTTCCCCATATTTCAACTGAAGTTTAAAAGGAGCTACGCATTGAGTCTATATTCTTTAGTCTGCTGACAACAATACTCACATTCCTCTTACAACAAATACCTACATTGTAGCAGTCTAACAATAATGCCTGAACCTAAAACTAAGTTTCTGGTATGCAATCCAAATAAAATAACTTGAGTGGTTTTCAATTATCCCAGATGATGAATACTTTGAGGAAAGGGCCACATCTTTTTCATCTTTGTATGCCTACTGCCTACACAATGTGCAGGACATCAAAGTCAATGCTTGTTAAATCAGATGATGAGATGTACCATACAAGCAGTACCTGCATCTGCAAAGTTCCACTGATCAGCAAGAAACAGTACCTAATGAAGTTATAAGAAAAGCATCATTCATTCCTAGGCCAATTCCACCTGAGTAAGCTACCGAACTCTAAAATTCAATGTACTTAAAGTCTCCTTTTTTGGGGATAATGCTATAGCTACAACTAGATCCTTACTTTAAGTCCCTCCAGTATCACCCTATCCTACTAATTGCTGCCTAATTAATCTTCTATTTTAGCACAGATCTTATGCCATCTCCGCATTCAAGAAGTCAAATTCCCTCCACCTACTGAATCATGTACCAACTCTGCATAGGCAATTGAACTCCTGAGTAATACAGCTATCAACCCATGATTTGGTCCTCTCTCCTTATTCAACACGAAATTCATGCTGGGCTTTTTCCTCATACCATACTTAATCTTAGAATGTTTTTTTCCTACTAGTTTCCCCAGTATCTGCTTGTGAAAATCTTACCTATTCTTGAAGGTCTCTCAGAATCTGTCCTCTTTTACTAATTTCTTTGTATCCCTTAACTGGACACAATACATATCTTCTCTGAGTCCTCTATCAACCGCCTTCATCTCGTTATGACATTTACAACATCATATTAATATTACTTTTATGCTGTTATTATCCCCTTTACCAGACTGCAAAATCTTAATAGCTGCTGGCAGAGGATTCTATCTAGCACGGAAAATAGGTATTAAATAAATATAACTGAGTTATTTTAAAAAAACTTTATAAAATAACATCTTTACAAATTTTTTGAAAACTTTTCAAGTAAAAGAATCTATAAGTACCAATAATGTCATTTTTGGGATCATATGTTCTTCCAAAGATATATATTAACCTTAAAAACAAAAAAACCTGTTATTGCTAAAGATAAAGTACCTAAAATTTGTCTAACTTTTAACACACTGACTGTAAATGATACTTTTCTAAGTCATTTTGAAGCACATAAAATTACAGATATTGAACCATTTTAAGATATAAAAATAACAATTCTTAATGTTTAATTAAAACTCTTTGTCTCTTCTCAGATTTTAAATCTATTGGTTTTCTATAAGATTGCAAAATAAGTGTGTTAATTTGCTTGGTCAAAATTAGGACTTAAATTTATATGTATGATAAAAACACTGCTATCTCAGTAATCAAAATCATCTTTTGATCAAGCAATTCAACTTGAAAAAATCTGTCCTACATATGATTCTCAAAAAATACAACCAACAAAAACATGTATGTATAAATATGTATGTTGAGCACTGGAAACAATTTAAACTCAGTAATAGCTATTTGCAAATGCATAGTGCTTACCATGTACCAGGTACTATTAAGCATTTTACATATACAACTATTTAATCCTCACATCAACCCTATAAGGTAGGTGATTAATATTATCTCTATTTTACAGATGAGGAAACTGAGGCAGAGAAAGGCTAAATAACTTGCTCAAAGTCACACTAGTAATGATGAGCCAGCATTTATATTCACACAGCATTGCTCCACAGTCCTTATTTTTAATGACTATACCGTACTGCCTCTCTTAATATAGACCCAAATATACTGATAAGGATATACTAAAGGCATCCAAGGCACACTGTTGAGATGGGGAAAAAAATGCAAGCTCAAGGCAACATGTAACACCCATTTAAGTTTTTTGAAAACAGACAGGTAGGGGGTGAATGTTTATAAACATAGAAAGTTTTTGGAAGATACATAATAAACTGTTAAAAGAGTGCCTGCTTCTGGGGATACTAGGTCTGGGCAATAAAGTGAACAGGGAGTGATAATTTTTATTTTGACTTGATACATTTTTATTTTGTTTGAATTTATTTTATTAATTAGTTTTATAATTTTTAAAAACTAATTAATAAAAGGGGTATAATTTCATTCCTTGGGGCCTTAAGTAACTTACAAATTCTTTTCCACCTCCTTTCTATTTTGTGTATCCACAGTCAGAGGCTTTTGCAACTTCTGTCTTTTAATTTGGTCTTTCATCTTTTCTCTGATTGACCCAGTATTAAACAATTATACACTAAGCATCTTCTAAATACCAAGTAGTCTGTTAATTCATCTTAAATATGATGAAAACATAATCCCTCATCTTAGAAACTTAAACACTCATGGCCTTGACTGAATACATTTTGTTTCCCCACCTTTCTTTCTCAAATAGTTTAAGAAAGAGATTAATTAAAAGGAATAGTAGACATTTTAAACCTCTCTCCTAAAATCCTGCCTGATAGATCCCAACTGTCTACTCACCATCACCTGAATATTTAATAAGCATCTCAAATTCACATGTCTAAAACGGAATCCCTGATTTTCCTCCTAAATTTACTTCTTCCACACCTCAGTAAATAGAAACTCCATTATTTGAATTATTTGAGCCAAGAACTTTGGAATCATGCAAGACAGAATCAGGACTGTTCTATCCTCAAAGTATATTCAGACTCTAATAAACATTCTTCGCCACCTATGCCAGCAGTTCCCAACTTTGTTGGTACCAGGAACCAGTTTCATGGAAGGCAATTTTTCCATGGACAAGGATGGGGTGGGGATGGGGTGGAAACGGTTTTAGGGTGAAACTACTCCACCTCAGATCATCAGGCATTAGATTCTCGTAAGGAGTGTGCGACCTAGATCCCTCGCATGTGCAGTTCACAATAGGGTTTACGTTCCTATGAGAATCTAATGCCACCCTAATCTGAGAGGAGGTGGAGCTCAGGCAGTAATGTTCACTTGTCCGCCGCTCACCTCCTGGTACCTCTCTGTGGCCTGGGGACCCCTGACCTGTACCACTTATGTCTTGTCCAAGCCATCAGCATTTTCAACTGGGGTGCTGCAACAACTTCCAAACTGGTCTCCCTGCTTTTCCTTCTGCTCTCCTACATTCTGTTTTCCATGAAGTGGCCAGTGATCCCTATCACATCACAGCTTTGCTCAGCAGGCCCCAATAACATCTTATCTCGTTCAAAATAAAAGTCCAGTTCTTAACATGGCCTACAATGCTATACAGGATCTGCCTGCCTGCCTCCTAATTTCTCTAAGCAATCTTCCTACTGATTGCCCTTTCTGTTTGGCTCCAGCTACACTGATCCTGCTGTTTCTTGTACACCAAGCACACCCCTGCCTCTAGGCCTGTGGACCTATTTGTTTTCTCTTGCCAAGACATCCTTTTCTCACATATCCACAATGCTCCCTCTCTTGCTTCCGGAAGGACTCTGGTCAAATGTCCCTTCTCAATAAGGTGGCCACCCTATATAAAATAGCAAACCACCCTTCTCACCCCTTTGGCATTCCCTTCCCCTTTCCTTTAATTTTTCTCCATGACATATTTATCCCCATCTGTCATATATTTACTTAAATATTTGCTTATTGTCCGTTCTGCTACTATAATGTAATGTATTGTAAGCTCCATGTGGGTAAGGTCTTGTTTTGTTCGTTGCTAAATTAGAACTATGCCTGTGTCTCAGCAAGCACTGAATAAATTTCTAATGAAATGAATTACAAATGCAAAGAGACTTACAGAAATCGTGAATAGTTCTGTAAGCCATAGAAAGCTAAAGCTACAAATCATATTCAAAGCATTCATGTTATGGAGAAAACAACTGTTCAAGGTTTGCTTTCTCATTAATAACTATACACACATACAAAAGTTACTTTTCTATGACACAGGCCAACTTCCTAATTTATGGAGGTGCCACAGAAAGTACCATGATGTATAAATGACAACACACTGTTTATCACCCAGTTCACACCATTGCTCAAGCCAAATCTGAGAAATTGCCGTCGATTTTCCTCTTCCTAATCTCAAATCCATCACAGGTCCCACTGACTTTCCCTCAAACATCTCCACTGGTGCCCCAGAAGGCCAAGCCAGCAGCACCTTTTGACTAGCCTCCTGTAGTCACCTTTTTACTGCATCTATTCTTGCCTTTCTACAACCCATTCCCCACACAAGAGTGGATGACCTTTTTAAAATGTAAATCAGATTCTGTCACTCCTTAAGATGTCCAATGGCTTCCCAATGCACAGGAATAAAAGCCAAAGTCCTTGCTCTGCTGTACGAGCTCCTGCCTTCTTCTCCAATAGCCTCGTACCAACATGTGTCTCATGTTGCCCTCATTCTGCTCCATTCCAACCAAAGGATGCCTTTCTTGGTTATGAAACATTCCAAGTCTGTTTTTACACTCATCCCTGTACCTGTATCTTACATTCAAATGGTTCTTCTGCCGTTCAGAACTCCTCCTAAATGCCACCTTCTCAGATAGGGCTCCCTTGGCTACCAATTCAACATAGTCCCCAGTTGTTATTTGTTAGATCTCCCTGTATTAAAGATCTGTATAGTTCCTTTTATTATCCAATGTTCTCTTGCTTTCTGATTTTCTGTTTGACTTTTCACAACGAGAATTAAAGTTTCAGGCCTGGCGTGGTGGCTCAGAGCTGCAATCCCAACATTGTGGGAGGCCAAGGTGGGAGGATCACTAGAGGCCAGGAGTTTGAGACCAACCTGGGCAACATACAGAGAACCAATCTCCACAAAACATTTAAAACTTAGCCAGATGTATTGGTGCACACATGTAGTCCGAGCTGAGGCGGGATATCACTTGAGTCCAAGAGTTGAAAGTTACAGTGAGCTATAATTGTACCACAGCCCTCCAACCTAGGAGACAGAGCAAGACTCTGACCACCATCCTTACAAAAAAAATAGAATCTGAATTTTACAAGGGGAAGCTCTTTCCTTGTTTTGTTCATGTAAAAAGGAGCCTACGGTATAGTACAGGCCCAAGAAATTTGCTGAATATTTAATTAATTCAGAGTTATTTGCACTATAATTTACTATTTTTATATTATAAAACTGTCTTAAAATTACACAAGAGACACCTAAAATGAATGGTCAAAAGAGACAAATTTTATGGTCACGTGACCATTCAAAGTCAGGTATGGCCAATAGTAAAGGAAGAATCTAAAACAGTTTAAAAGTACTAAGTCTATGACTTTAAGAGATTATAAAAATTTTCTACACTATTTAAGTACAATCAATTGAAACATCAGCTTCAAGAGGTATAAGGGAAGGCGAGAAGATGGTAGAAAAAAAAACGAAAAATGATTTGGAGAAGGAACAGGAAGAAGAAGATAAAGCTACAAATAACAGGAGTAACCTAAGATTGAAAATTTTGCCATAGATAATCTCCAACATGAATAATCCACATTGGGTAATAGAATATTGACTATAATTACATTCATCCTACTGACCTTGTTCTAAATTATTATGGATTATTACTACGCAAGTTATTTTGTTCCACACCAGAGGTGGCTGTATTTCGCTATCAGATGACATGACCTCTAATTCAATAATGTCTGTAATGCACTGGTATCCTCAGATAAAAGCTGTCTATAATGTCTGAACAAAGGTGAATTAGTTATCCAATTCACACACACAATTAACTCTCTTAATACCTGAGAGACCACAGAGCCCCTTCTGAATTTCCTATTAAATACTGCATATGGAGGTCTTCCCTCCATCTGTAGTTATCTTGTGCTGTACTTCACAATAAACAATATTAATAGTTTATTGCCCCCATCAAAAATCTTGCATTTGTTATCATATAAGACCTCATTCCAGAAAGCAATGACTCCTTTTCCTAAAAAAATTGTATTAAATACAAATGTTATGCCTATTAGAAAAGTGCATTAGTTTTATAAAAATCATAATGCCTTCATGAAATATGGAAAACAATTAAATTTTTTTTTACTATTTTATGAACACCTCTTAAAAGCCAAATGGCAATATATATTAAGTGAATTCATATTTATAGGCTGTTTTCAGTCATTCTAAATAAAAGACTATTTATTTAAATTTAGGTATTAAAGGGCAAACACAAATCAAAACATAATATTTTTTGCCACCTGCTCCCTGTACAAAGTTGAAATTTCATAAATAGTTTGAAGGCAGAGAATAGCTTTGTACCCATATGTGATGCCAATGGCTATATTCATAAAAACTCAGATCAGAATAACTAGGTAATGTCAAATGTTAAACAAACACCCTTGCCTTCTAAAAGAAGGAGGTAATTAATTAATTCTTCAGGGGATGCTTTTCATTTTACTCATCTAACATAAATGTATCTTTTTAGCAGAGAACAAGCGAACAAAATATCCCTAAAATAAAATCTAGCTCTCTTAATACACATTCACATTAAAGTTCTCATTATATTAGGTAAATTCTATGAAAAAGTAAGCAGTGAAGTAAATCTACAAATGGTACCATAGTTCAAATGAAATCTGCTGTTCACCTGGGTTTTCATTTTCCCTCACAACATAAAGTAGGGAGGTAGAGCAGAGGAACAGAAAATGGTTTCTTCCAAGTGTTTCACATATTCTATCTGCTCATGAAATGACAGAGATGCTGGAAAGCTAAGTAGGTGATATTCTTCACTGCATAAACAATGCAAACTACAAACCAACCTTCCGCATACTGCAGCACAAGAAATACCGACTCCTCAGAGATGATGTACTTATGCAGACACACCATGTTGGGCACACAGCGGGGGATGATGGTCTTTCTGTTCCTGCTGTATTCACTGCTTTTCCTTAGACCCTGACAGAGAACAAAAAGGTCAGTTGTATCCTCAGTTGCCTTTGGAGCCTGCTGTGCTCTGTGTTTATCAACCAAACTAATCTATCCGAGTTACTCTGGGCTTCAGAGAAACCACTCATCTGCTGCTCTATGCCCCCCAGTCCCTGGAGGCTCTGCTGATGGCATCTGGCGTGAATCCAGAGAAGGAAGATGCCACAAAGCTGCCATTAAAATCAATTATGTGGGTCAGTGTTTTTATTAGAGATGCTCTCAAACTAAGTCATCAGGATGACACACAGTTATTTCTCTGTGACCTTTTCTTAAGTTTTATTTTACTTATCTACATCTCTAAAGCAGTAGACATTGTTAGATCCATGCAAACTCCTGAGACACAAAAGGTATTCTTAGATTAACCAGGCAAATTTAAAATCCTATCCCCAAAAAGTACAAAAAATATTAAGTCTTCTGACAAGGAACAAAGTTTGTCTGTTTACTGGTGTCATACTCTGTTTTTAAAAACTGGGGAAGTATCAGTGATAAAGTATATTTACCAAAAAAAAATGTGTTTCAGTATGTGTCAATGTGACCTGCCATGCCTTATCAGCAAAATAAAAAAGCATCAGAAAAAGAAATATAAAATTAATGAATTCACCTTCTGAATGCTTTGGAAATGCTTAAATTAGGATATTTTCAGAAATATGTATGATCACAGTCCATTCCAAATACAATTTCAAAATTATAAAATTGAGGGGATTTTTCTCTTATTCATTTGGTTACAAATTGGGTTCTGTATAGAACCAAAATTGAATTTAGATCAAAAAGAGGACTAGGAATGTAGGTAACACTTTCCCAAAATACCTCTAACAAGACTTTAAGGCAAAATTTTAGCTCTTAAGAACCGTAGTGATAATCCAAGATGAGATTGTGTGTAGTCTTTACAATTATACAAAAGGGTCCTGACGTATTTAAACTACACACTACACATTCAAACAACATGAGATTGTTCTTCACTTCGTCCAAATTATTTCCTCCATACTCTGTATCAAAAATCTTTTTAAATGCGTGCTATCAACTGTGATGAAAGGATAGAAAGAAAAGTAAATAAAATCACCACAAACATAAAAGAACATTCATAATCTAGGGAGGAAAAATATTAACTAAATATTAACTAAAATCTTAACTTTTCTTTCAGAAGCATAATCTGAAATTGAAATTTTAAATTCATTAAGCATACAAATTTTACTTACTTCTTGGAGACAGGGTTTGGCTCTTGTTGCCTAGGTTGGAGTGCAATGGCGTGATCTTGGCTCACTGCAATCTCCACCTCCCAGCTTCGAGTGATCCTCCTGCCTAAGCCTCCCAAGTAGCTGGGATTGTAAGTGCCCACTACCATATCCGGCTAATTTTTGTATTTTCAGTAGAGACAGGGTTTCACCATGTTGGCCAGGCTGGTCTTGAACTCCTGACCTCAGGTGATCCACCCACCTAAGCCTCCCAAAGTGCTAAAATTATAGCATAAGCCACCACGCCTGGTCACAAATTTTACTTACTTTTAAAATGAAGGTCTGTTCTGTCCTTGTGTCCATTACAAGTAAAACCTACATAAAAACAGGAGTAATAACTTCTTAACGATACAATGAAACATTAACTCTTAGCTTTAAACTAAACTTTAAAAGGTGGGAGCTGAAATTTAACCCCCTCCCCCAAATTGTTCATTTCTGAATAAATTTTTTAAGTCAGCAAATTACAGGACCAAAATAATCTTATCCAAATTAGGTTTTATTACGGTTTCCTTTTCTAAAAATGCCATATTTTAAAAACATTACTGTTTCCTAAAATATTTTAAAGTGTTATTTCTTATAAGTAAAGGAAGTATTATTTTAAACAATGAATTTTTCCTCTTGGAACATACATGGCCAAAAGGAAGTGATTCAAGAAAAATTATTCAAGTCTCAATTTTCTTCCTAAAATCTCCCATGTAGCAACTTGCTATAATGTGATCTCAGTAACTCAGGCTCTAGCCTAAGGCACCCTCTTTTGGTACCACTTACCCTGGACTCACCCTTAACACCTCTTTCCACCATCAGCAAATCCTGTCAGCTCTGTTTTCAAAATGTATCCAAATCTGAACTCACCTTACCACTTCCACAGTTATTACTCTGATTCAAGCAAAGATCAACTCTTACCTAACTTGTAACTATGGTGTCCCAACTGATCTCCCTGCTTCCATCTTTGCTGCCTGCCCTGTGATCTATCCTCAAAACAGCAGCCAGGGTTTTCTTTTTAAAACATAAGCCAGAACATGGCACTCTTCTTATCTCATTGAGAGAAAAAGCTTAAGCCCATAAAATGACCTCATGACCTCTCACATACGGCCCCCTTAAACAACTCATTCCTACCCCTCATCTTGATGGATAAAATAAGTTAACAGTAAGTATGAAATTATCCTACCCTATTAAAGGTTTATTATTTTGGAAATACTATAGCAAAGATTGGTAAACTTTTTCTTTAAAGGGCCAAACTGTAAATATTTTAGGCTCTGCAGGCCTATGCAGTCTCTATTGCAGCTTTTGAACTCTATCATTGTAGAACAAAAGCAGCCACAGACTGAAACTGGCCATGGGAGGAAGACTTGTACCACAGAAATCAGCAAACACTGCAAATGAGGCTTCTTCCCCCTACCAGAGAGCTGACTGTCAAACATTTACCAGCCCCACACCTTTTCCCTGGGTAAGGAAAGACAGAAATTAAGGATGAGAAAAAGATGTTAAGCTTGAAAAAATAAAAGAATTTTTAAAAGGTGAGAAGAAACAGGAAAGTTGAGATAGGAAACCGGTTTGAGAAGATGGAAAATTCCATTTTAGATAATAAAGTTGAAAAAATAGTTACAACTTCATCTTTGGCTCTCTTCTGAGTGTTTGACCTACACTATTTAAATTTCCATTTAATTTCAATATAATATCCTCACATGTACCTCATATCCTCTTCCCAAAGCCCTGCCTTCATCAAACAAACAAATGACCTGCTCCTCCTGTAGTACTGAATAAGATCATCTTCCATGCATGCTCCGAAACCAAACAGTGGCCTAAGTTACTCTGAACTCTCTCCTGTCTCCCACTTTCAGAACAAGTGACCAAATCAGTTCTACCTCCTAAGCACTTCTCTTATCCACCCTCTATCTGCCATGTTTTAAGCATTTCCTATGTGAAATACTTTACCCATGTGTAATCAATGTTAATCCTCTCAACAAGCCAATGATTTTTATTTTATTTTATTTCATTTTGACTGGGTCTCACTCTGCTGCCCAAGCTAGAATGCTGTGTTGTGATTTTAGCTCACTGCAGCCTCAACCTCCCATGTTCAAACAACCCAACCACTTCGGCCTCCCAAGTAGCTGGTACTATAGGCATGTGCTACCATTTTTCCCCCCAAAAAAGACAGAGGTCTCACTATATTGTCTAGGCTGATCTTGAAATCCTGGGCTCAAGAGCTCCTGCTGCCTTGGCTTCTCAAAGTGCTGGGATTACAGGGATAAGCCACCATGCCTAGCCCAAGAAATAATTTTACCACTCCTATTCTACATTAGAAGACATTACAGATATATCTTCTTATAGACATAAGACATTCTTATCATGTAGAAGCTATAATGGTCAATAATGTATCTAACACTTGTGAGGACTGCAGTAAGATAATCCTACAGAAGGACAGGCAGTTGCTATTATCGCTATCACTGTCATTGCTTCTTTTTCCCTGAAATGTTCCCCCAGCCACTTACCAAACAAGTACACATCTTTCCATACTCAGCGCAAATGTCACTCTATCTCTCAGTAACACTGACTACTTTCTTCCTTTCTTCTGCTGTTTTACACAGCACCAACTTTTATTATAGCATCTCTAACCCTTTGATTTCGGGGTCTATCTCCCAAACAAGACTTCGAGCTCTTTCTTTATGGGCATGCAGTAAGGCAGGATAATGGGAGCCAAAGATGCTCATACCCGAGGAACCCTCAGAATTTATGAATGTGTCATGTTACTGGCAAAAAAGCCTTTGCAGATGTAATTAAGGTACAGACCCTAAAACAGAGAGATTACACTGGATTACCTGGGTGGGTTCCAAAATATCACATGAATCCATTTTAAAAAACAGAAACTACCTTTATTAGAAGAAAGGCAAAGCACAGAAATGATATGGATGAAGGGGAAATCATATTCAAAGCATGAAAGGAATGCACGATTGCTGGCTCTCAAGTGCAAAGGCCCACATGCAAAAACTGGAGAGAGATTTCTAGGATCTCATAGCAAGCCTAAGAAGGAACCTAGGCAACTTCTAGGAGTATAGAACAGTCCGTGGCTGACAGCCAGCAGAGAAACACGGAGTTCAGTCCTACAACTCTATGAAAAGAACAGAGTTCAGCCAACAACCTGAATGAGCTTGGAAGCAGCTTCCTCTCCCAAGCCTCCAGTAAGGAATACAGCCTTGCCAGCACCTTGATTTCAACCCAGTAACTGTGTCAGACTTCTGACCTATAGAATTTTAATAACTTCGTTATTACAGGCTGCCAACTTTGTGATAATTTATGACAGCAACAGAAAACCAATAGCAAAAAAAATTATTCTATCACATAAACACAGTTCTTACACAGTAAATGTTCAATAAACATATGATTAGTGAGTTCAAGCCTAAAATTTTGTAAAGTAGATGATAACATGGGAATGGAGCTTAGAAAATAAGTGAGTTCTAAAGATTTATATTTGGGCATTCTCCATAAAGATAAAAACTAAAGACACAAGAATGAATCCCAGTGGAACACTTCCTTCATAGCAGGCACTGTGCTGGGCTTTAAGGAATTAAATCATGTAATTCTGTCCACATTCCAAAGAGGTAGGTATCTTTTATAAATCAAGTTTACAGATGATGAAACAAACAGAAAGCGGCTTGTACCTCTCTGGAGTGTGCTCTGAAACAGCGGGACTTCTTTAACCGCAGGACTTTCCCATACTTACAAAGCTAAGAAGTGGTAGAGGGTAGTCTGGCTCCAGGTTTCTCCCTCTTTAACTGCTAAGCTATACTATTTATTTCTGAATTTTGAAAATTATACATAGTTGGAATATCGTGAGTAAATAAGACAACAACCAAAAGTGTAGTACAAAGAGAAAACATAGCTGTTCAGATGTCAGAGAAAGAGAATGTTTAAGATGAGTGTAACCTATGCCAAACAATAGAGAGAAGCCATGAAGGATGAGGACTGAGAAACTATCACTGATTAGGGCAGTTAGGAAGTCCTGAGTAACTTCAATACAGCACTGTCCAGTAAACTGCTGAGGACAGAAGGCAGACTGCACAGAGTCAATGAGTGATGGCCAGGAGCAGTGGCTCACACCTGTATTACCAGCACTTTGGGAGGCCAAGGTGGGTGGATCACAAGGTCAAGAGGTTGAGACATTCTGGCCAACCCCATCTCTACTAAAAAACAATAATAATAATAATAATAATAATAAATACAAAAATTAGCTGGGCATGGTGGTGCACGCCTGTAGGCCCAGCTACTCCAGAGGCTGAGGCAGGAGAATGGCTTGAACCCGGGAGACGGAGGTTGCAGTGAGCCACGATCACTCCGCTGCACTCCAGCCTGGTGACAGAGTGAGACTTCATTTCAAAAAAAAAAGCAAGCAAGCAAGAAAGAAGTGATAAAAAAAAAATAGAGGGGAGGTGACATATGTAGGTCTTTCAATAGTACAGTATGTCAGAAGAAGGAAAAACACTAAAATGAAATAATGGGATCATTAGTTGAAACAAAGGTTTTGATGTTTTTAATTTTTCAGATAGGACAGACTTATTCTCTCCATAACTGCCCTTTGAGTTATAATCAACACAAATCTTGAGCCACCAAAACATAAAAACACATTTGTGAACTTTAAGAGTTAAATCAACATTTCAAGAATGTAAAAGGAGGCACTCTTTCTGCAAAGGAGAGCTCAGCAAACATCTGTTGAAATCTGTTGAATCTGTGAAGATATTTAGTGTTCCTTAAGTCTCATTTGTTTTTGTATCAGCTGTGGCTTTGAAGTTACTTACCAGAAAGTCAATTCTATTTGTGTAAGATACACCTATGTGAAGTAGAACACATCTCACTAGGTAAAAGGGATGGAAGCCATGTAATCAGAGGAAAGAACTTCTCCCTATTAATAGCCTCTTAATTGACTCAACAAAATGTATAAATCAGGAATGATATCTCTTTACTGATCTCGCTTAGCCATGAAGCACCAAGCAGATCAGATAAAAAGGTCAAATTGGCTGGGTGTGGTGGCTCACGCCTATAATCGCAGCATTTTGGGAGGCTGAGATCAGGAGTTCTAGACCAGTCTGACCAACAGGGTGAAACCTCATCTCTACTAAAAATACAAAAATTAGCTGGGCATGGTGGCGGGCACCTGTAATCCCAGCTACTCGGGAGGTGAAAGCAGGAGAATTGCTTGAACCCAGGAGGAGGAGGTTGCAGTGAGCCGAGATCACAACACTGCACTCCAGCCTGGGCAAGACAGTGAGACTCTGTCTCAAAAAAAAAAAAAAAAAAAGCCAAATTACGATGGATAAACA